AAATCTGTTAAATCTGTAAGCAAGCCATGTTCAAACCAAGCTTCTAATCCTATACTACCTGGTACTTCATGGTGGAATAAAGTTGAGTATTAATTATTATAAATTAGTCAAGAAGCACAAGTTGATTTTTGAAACTGGGATACCAGACTGTTAGAAATGGCTTACTATTTTCAAGAAAACAACCAAGGACCTCACAAAAGGTTTACTACCTAAATGTCACCAATGAGTAACTCCACTGTGATAACTCAAGAGAAATTGTGTTCCATTTATAACCAAGTATTCTTTTTCTCCTTTATTTACAATAACCTTGGGGATACAGCTCTACTCAGACTTGGTGTTCATTTAGTTTACTAATAAGAACTTTAAAAAAAAAAACCTTATATAGAGATATTTGCTCAATAAGATGTAAAATGCCAGAAAAATGTGAGCCTATTAACATCCTGTCTCTGAAGCAAAGTAATTCAGATGATATCACAAATATTAAGAAGTGATAGAGATTACCCAGAAGAAGTTAACTTTTCAAGGGCTTGTTAATCCTCTTTTAAACCCATCAATTTTCATAGAATTTCATTACACTTGATTAGCTTACACCTCCATTACAAAAGCAAATGATGTGACATACATGAATCAGGAACTGTTATTTCACAATATGTTTTCCCCAAAAAATGAAACAATACAAACACTCAAAAAATGACTCAAGTCCTGGCATATTCATGCTAGCTATTGTAAGTATTTAAGAAGAGGTGTTAATGTTTTCCATTGCACCCAATCACCTGATTTTTTAACACTATGAAAACATTACTTAAGGCTGGTATGAAACAAATTCCTGTGCAAATGTGTCAGCCATTATGTGAAAGGAAGTTGGGAATGTTGCTACTAATTAATGTGTTATTATGGCATTACATGGAAGAAGGATCTGGGCCAAGGAACAACGTAGCATACTCCATACCCCTTTTCCCACTATCACAATTATCTGAAGTACTGAAAGATCAGTAACTAGATGGGAGTCTGATCATTTCATTTCATTTCATTTTTTTCAGTTTCCTAGGCAATACATTCATTTTACAATGTTATCCTATAGCTTCCTTAGTCTTCTCAATTGATTTCCCAGGGTTCAAAGCACACAAGTCATCATCCCAGCCTCATCTTCCCAATTTTCATTATTCTATTCTTATTATCATTTAGTCCCAAAGTGATGCAAAATTACTACTTTTTATGACTTGAAATTTAAAAAAAAACACTATCTAGAATTCAAATAGCTAAAAATCATAAATTGGCTTGTAAGCTAAATTAATCTTGACAAGCTTCGAGGACAATACAAGCATCTCTCTCTCTCTCTCTCTCTCTCTCTCTCTCTCTCTCTCTCTCTCTCTCTCACACACACACACACAGAGAGTTTATTTATCCTTCAAAACAATTTATCTGCAGCATAACTAAGCATTTAAAGGAAGCAATAAGCCATGCTAAATAGACAGAGAATGCCAAATAATAATATTGCAATTACTTTGGTCCTGTAAATAGGACACATTTCACAAATCTCCTGGGTTCAGGTGATTTGGCTATAGTTACTTGTGTATCTAAAATTTCCACAACAGTTTGTCAAAACTGAAACCTGAAACAAGGCACAAAGAGTTTAAATAACAACTGGCAATGGTGTATTTGATACACTTTATGGAATGAAAATTGCATTGTCCAAGATAAAAGCCTTCTTGAAATGAAAGCTATTATTGCAACCAGATTATTCAGACCTATTCTTAGGCTCTCTTAAAACGTATTCTTGCTATAGATATTAACACCACACAAGAAATGAAACAGTAGGAAATCTAGACTGCTGTACTCTATTCATCTGTTAACTGCAACAGGGCTTCATCTGCTCCTTCTCCTTGTTTGTTAATCAATCTGTACACCTACTGAGATAAAGAACATAAAGTCTTCCACTATTATTGAATCAGATCCACACAGAGAGAAACAAAAGGCAGTTAGTAGTAGCATCGTTTGTTTTGTTTCTTCAAAGAGAAGGAACAACAAAAATATCACTTTGGCTTCAATTTATTTCACCATTTAAAAACGTGAGTGATGGTTTCCTCATTCTTAGTTGAGACTATTATTCTCAAATCCTCCTGCTAAATTTATCTCCACCCTCCACCCACCCCCACCCCTGGATTTTGAAATAAATGATTTGATTAACTTGTGAGTATTGAAGACCCTAAGAATCCTACTTAGATGCTTGAATACTTCGCCGATTCCCGAATTGTGCCCCAGACTGCATAGAAAATGCAAGTTTTATATCAATTTTTTTTTTAAAAAAAAGGGGGGGGGGGGTTTAAAAAGAATAAAGTAGACTTCACAAGCTATGGTCAATTCAGAATCTTCTGTTAGGGAAAAAAAGTGTTTTATTAATTTCCTTAGAAGTAAAATTTAGTAACACAAGATATGTAAAAAGGAAAGGATGCTGATTTGGAGCTAAATTGGCTGGAATCGAGCACCCAAACGTTTAAAGCCATTTGGCAAAGGAAGAGGAACAGACTGAAATTCACTATATTCTTTTCCCCCCCCCCCCAGAACAGTATCAACTAATGTTTTCACATCTTGGAAAAGATAACACATTCCTAGAGAGATATCCTAAAATATTCCTGTGCTGTTGGCTCCTGAAAACAACAAGAACCCATCCATTTTCAGCTTCTCTTCCTTTGCAGCTCTTCACATATGGGATCTGCTCATTCCCACCTGGCTCTTTAAAGAGCCAGGCTAGCCAGCTGAACCTTGGCTTGAAAAATCACCAGCATCGCATAAGCTCTGATGCCAGCCCTCCAGGTGGAGCTCATGGGTACATGTGACCTCAAACTACAAGCAGCGCTCACCAGGCATCCCAGAATTCCCATCTGCAGTGGACAGTGTTTGGGGTGGAGCTGCTACGTAAACGGGGCTCTGCAAAAACCTGAGATTTCAAGCTTACTCAGTCCAGGGAGTGGGAGGTGGCACTTCAACTGGCAAAAGGCAAATAAATCCCAGCCAGAAGCTGAAAAACTGGCAGGCAAACCCAGCACACCCTGAGGTGGCTTGGAGAAACAGTTTTATTGCTTCCTGCAGCCCAGTTCCTACCCTAGCAGATAGCAGTGGAGTTCCAGGGAACGCTAGCTGCAGTATCAGTATCGCTACCACTGACAGTAACAGCAGTGGAATACACTGGAGAAGGTTTTCTGGATTACCACGGAAGAAACAGAGTAGGAAAAGATGAGGCTGTGAGAAAGATGCAAAGGAGAGAGCCTTCTGAATCTTTTTAAATATGGGATCCCCTATTGTGACTTCTGACATTGTTTGGAGTCATCCAACCATTCCTGTGCCACAACTACACTAACAAGGACAAGCATTAAACACTAGGAAATGCCATAAGTCAGCAGTGGAGAATCGGGTTAAATGAAGATAGGTAAGAGGGACAGGAAAACAGGTGAGGGCTGCTATTTGAGATCTGCCACGGGCATCAGAGACCTGTCTTCTGTCTCTCTCACCTATTGCAGAAACCTGTGCCCAAGAAATGAAATTGCTCTTGAGCAAATGTGGGAGCCCGGAAGGCAGTTTCCAGAGGTGGCTTATGGTGATGAGATGTCCTTCCAAGACAAGAGTTAAAGAAGGACACTGAGGCTCTGACACAAGAACCCCAGACCAATAAACAGGCAACCCTGCAGGAGTGGCGCTCCCTGAGGCAAGGGAGATGTGTTAAAAGAGATTGCCTTGGATGACATCACTCAAAGGAGCAGTGGAGCCCATGGGGCAGAACAAGACAAGCACTTCTGTTCAGATAAGGAAAGAGCCCAAGTGATGGAAGCTGAAAGGCTGTCAGAGCACAGAGGATGCCTTGCTCCAAAATGGATGGCAGGGCTGCAATTAAATGTTAATGCTGCCAGTGCAGTGAGGAAAGGACCGTCAGCTTCAGTCAAGAACCTCAGGGTGGGGGGCTTGGTGGGGGGCAAGAAGAGGTCCTAGGTTTTGGGTGGGTTAGCACAGATATCCTCCCTATTTCTCCCCCCCCCCCCAATTTTTCCCTTTTGATCCCTATGGCCAGGGTTGTTTGCATCTCTCACCTGCTGGTCATCTGTTTTAAAATGCCTGCTGACAAGGAAAGGAAGTAGCAACCAGGATTTTTTTTGGGGGGGGGGGAATGGGGGGGAAGAGAAGTGCCTCAAACTCCAAAGGTATCAGCTGCATCTCTCTCTTGCTCTCTGACTGCAACGTAATTATTCCAGCAAGAGCGATGTGACAAATTAACGAAGCGGCCAAGGCTTTTGAACTAGAAGAGTGAGCTCCCCTCCCGCCTGAAAATAAATTGCTGTTATCCTTAATGCCTGATGCCAAAGCTAGACCTGCTCTGTTAATTGGACAAGGATCCCTTTTGACAAGTGGAATCACCTGCCCTCAGCCAAATGAGGAGGGGGAAATACCAGAAAGCAAGGAGCACCAGATCAGAACATCCAAGGAAGGCAAGCAGGAGGGGAGATCTCTGGAGTAAAACGTTCATGGGTGGGGGGTTAGAGGTACAACGCCTCCAGTTTCTAAATCACAGCTTTGGCAAGCTCTGAAATCTTTTTTTTTTTTTAACAAAATGAAATGAACTCGAAGTTGGACAACTTTAAGGAAACACAGCATTCCTTTGCTGTCCCTAGGACACCCTCCCAATAAAATAGAACCCCGGTAGTTTGAAGAGGGGTAGGTGGGAAACATTTCATTGATCTCAAACAGTATGGGACAGACAGCTGCATCACACAGTTTTCCAAACAACCCGGGAATGGGGGTGGGGGGGAGGCAACCTGAATGGCTTGAAGCCATTCACACACTCTTTGGGAATTAAACCGCCACCATACCCTTTTTCAACACATCCACTTTTTGCCCTTCATAGCTAAATAGGAAAAAGGAAGAGAGGCAAACCAGAGAAGGCAAGCAAGGCAAGCATTTCTCCTCCTCCAGTTTGCTCTGTTTTTTGTTTTTTTTTTCTGCTGGCGTACCTGAAATGCAGACAATGAAATTGGCTTGCAGAAGAAAAAGCACCTCCCAAACAATTTCCATCCTCCGATTCTCATGCCAAGTGCATCCCTCGGTGAAAAAACACAGCAAAGATCAATATTGCAGTTTGAACAATCCCAGAAAATCTCCTTTTGGACTCGTAGCCTCTATTCCCCAGATGTGCTGACACATGTCCAGGCTCTCTCGTCGCTGTGCAGCTCAAGCCAGATCCCTTTTCTTCCTTTGCCGTCCGCCAAAGACTAAGGAGGCAACCGCCAATACCAGCTGCTTCTTCCTTCAGGAAAGCAAGAAATATCCACCAGGTCTCCCAACAAGACATAGACAAAAAAAACCAAGGGACCGGCAATTCCCAGCTCCGGAAAGTCTCGATTCTCGGGGACCCGATCGCCAAGTTTTTCCCCAAACTCTGCACACCTCAACGAGGCATCGCCCCCGCCAGCCGCGCCGTCCCGACGTTCCTTTTTGGTTTTTTCCCCTCTCCAAGCTCGCTATAAAACAATCAGAAAGAGATTAAGACATCGGGCGTCAGGTTTCTTGCACCGCGTTTCACCTATACCTAGAGAGGAGAGGACGACGTACCCAAACCCGGGTCTCCTGCCCCCCCAAAAATAATAATAATAATAAAAAAACAACCCCAACCAGCTTAAGCTCCCCGCTAATTCCCAGCAACGGAAAGGAGATTTTTCCGCAATGCAACTGCAGGGGTCGTTCTTCCCTCGCCTACCGCGCGGGTCGCTCGCTCTTCCCTCCCTCTTTCCGCTGCTTTCCAAGCTAACGGGGAGAACTCACGGTGGAAGCAAATAAATTAAAATAAATAAATAAAGAGCGTGCCAAGCGTCTCCTCTCTCTCTCTCTCTCTCTCTCTCTCTCTCTCTCTTTTCACCACGCTCCCCCCACTCCTTCGTTTCTTCCCAATCTTTTCAAAATTAGATCGGGTGGCTTTGGAAGAGATGGGAACGAATATATTTACACCGTGGGGGAAACACACGCGCAGAGCTCGCACGTCTCTTCCACCAGCTAAAGTACACTACTTACACCGGGGCTCTTGCCTCAAGACCGTTTTCCCCCCTAGGGTTATTTCTGCCTCCAGGAAAACATGCCAAGCTTTCCTTCCGAATATTCTCATGCAAAATAATAATAACTCCAAACAGATACTTTGCGCTACGCCGGGCTAACTAACGAAGTAGTTATTATGTCTTCCATCTAGGGCCAGAAAGAAAGAAGCAAAGCGCGAGGTTCTAAACAGGTCCATTTTAAATAAGACCCGTTCTTTAAGCGGGGTAGGGGGGGGGGACCTGCTCCCAGGTAAACCTCCTTCCGGCTAGACTGCAACGGCGAGAAAAGGGGCCAAACGTTGGAGGAGCCTCGCGCAAGGCTCTCCCGGCTTAGATGCTACTTGAGCTGCCCGCAAGGAAACGGTTTCCATACTCACGTTTTCCTCCCCGGCGCTCCTGTCGCCCGTTCCTCTTCCGCCTCCTCCGGCAGGGAGATGGGCTCTCCCCGAGGGTCGATCTGCCCGCAGTCCCGCGAGGTCAGGCTGCTCGGCTCGGACTCAGCCCTGGGGAAAAAGCGGGCTTTAAAGCCAGATCTTCCTTAGGATCGAGCCGCCTGCCTCTTCGCCAAGCGCTCCCCCCCCCTCCACAACCCCGTTTAAGGGAAGCCAGTCGGACCGGGCTCCGGGACTCCTGAGCCACCCCACCACGTTCCGTCAGCGCCACGCTCAGTCCGGCGGGGCAAAAGGCGGCGAGGCAGCAAAGCGCGCAGGCCGGCGAGCGAGCGAGCGTACCGCGACGGGAGGCGGCGCGTTCGGCGGCCAGTAGGCAACCGGAGCTGCAGCCCAAGTTGGAATCTGGCCTCTGCCGCCAAAGAGCCGTACAGTCTGGGCATGCCTACTGGCTCGCCCCCTGCAAGGCTCTTAGCTGTAAATGACGCCGGGCGCCCGGACGCTTTCCTGCCCCGCTGCGAACTTTCTTTTCTCTGTATCGATGTATTGATTGACCCTCGTTTCTTTCTTTCTTCAAAAGAAAAAATATCATTAGCATTCCCCAAAAGTTGCGCCAGAACTAGGAAAAGCGTACCGTTACTTGGCGGGGGAAATGGGGGCGGGAGGAAATGGGCGGGTGTGAGTCCGAGCGAAGGAGACTAGTGGCGCAAACCAAGAAACAGATTCCCACGTGCGCAGGGCTTGCCCTCCTCGGCATGCTTGGCAGGAGTCAGTTCAGGACAGAAAGGTCCGCGTTTGCCCTGCACGGGGATTTCAGGCTTCCTTGCCGGGTGCCTGGCGGGCTTTGGTGGCTTGGGCGTTCCAGCGTCGAGAAGAACGCCAACTACAAGTGGAGTGGCAGCGTCGAGGATGAGGGCTGCTCGCCTGGGGCTGAAATGGTCCAAAGTATCAGGGACGGGGTGGGGGGAGAGACTTATTAAAGCGGAATTTGGCCCTCCTAGTATTCCAAGCTTTTGCGCATTTTGAGCACCGCCGTTGATGTATGCTTACTCAGAACTAAGACCCACTTTGTTCGGCAGGATTTACTCCCAAGCAAGTATGCGGAGGGTGGCAAGACGTCTCAGAAGAGAGCCGCATGTCTTGAATGAAGGGTGGGATAGATACATTTGCTTGAGTCAAATTGAGTTGGAAGAGCTACATTTTGACGTCCCCCCCCCCATCCCCAGGCCAGCTTAAAAAGAGCGAATGGGCAGATTTCCCAGGCGAGGTGTCTTCCTTCCTAGCAAACAGAATTGGCAGGTTGTTTTACTGAATGGGAGGGAGGAATTTACGAAAATGTCCGAAATATTTTGAATTGGATAGATACATCCAAAACTTTGGCGGTTTTCTGCATTCCAAACAAGGGGTTAAAGCGGTACGCTGGTTCTTTCCCTTTCGAAAATAGTTTCCCGGTGAGGTTTCTAAAACCTCTTTTCTTGCCCTGCCGTTTACCAAACTGGAGAAGCGATGTGCGGGGGTGGATGCAGATTTCGTTATTTTTTTTCCCAATGATTTCACGGGATTTTCATTGGACTCCATTATAAATTAATCTTCATTTCTGCCGTCTCTATGGTTGCAGCAACAAATCAATTGCCCATTTGGGGTGTGGCGAAAATATCCGTTAATTAAAAGATATACATATGCAAAATCAAATTTTATCTATCTATCTATCTATCTATCTATCTATCTATCTATCTATCTATCTATCTATCTATCTATCTATCTATCATCTATCTATCTATCTATCTATCTATCTATCTATATACACACACACACACACATACATACATTGTAAAACTCTCAGGTTAGGCACTTCAAGATTTTGATTTAGTACAAGGAGCAGGAATCCAAGGCACACATTTCATGAAAGTGTCAGGTTTTTCTCAAATCAGTAAATCATATTACACCCCTGCACATTAAAAGTCATGGGGAATAATGGTAACTGGGATCTGGATTAGGGATCTGCATCCATTTTCAATATCTGAGCACACAGACCTTTCAAATTCATGATTACATTACACATCTCTTTTGCTGTTTCACTAAATGTGTACACCGGTCTTCTCTATTCTGATTAACTGGAGCAGCAGATTGAAGATTTCTGAGGCCACAAAGGGGTTATACAACCAACCTGTGGTGGTGGGGCAATAGATAGGGTTGTAGACTAGCCATACCCAATCAAAAGCAACATTGAAGCAGCATGCATTTCCCTAGTGAATTATTAAATCCCACCATCTGCTGTAGAGGAAGGTGAGGAACCCAGTGCTGAGTTGTTACTTCAGCACCATGGACAGCAGCGTGGCTGATGGCATGCAGCTTATGCTCAGCATGCTATATTAGCAATCGCTCAGCATTTGGGTGTCTGCTTGCATAAGGCTCAGTTACTATCATTAGTCCTTCAGAATATCCTTTGCTCCAGTCACACAGACTTTCTTCATTTATATCTAACCATAGCACAAAATAACCAGGCATTTTTCTGTCCTGTTCCCATGACCTTGCCTTCATCTCATCCCCAAGTCATGAGTGAGATTGCATTAAGTTTTCTTTTGCTACATTACGCAATTAATAAGTATTTCCCCCATATTCCAATGCCACCCAAGTACAGCATTAAAATGTGGGGAATCTGTTTTTGCCACTTCTTGTATTGGAGAGAAGTTAGATGATTAGCAATGACTGGGAAAAGAGACAGAAGAGACGTGATTGGCCTGGTGGAAATAAATATCATGCAGGTATTTTTTTTCCCATGGACTCAAAGACATCAACTCAGTAGTATAGAAAGGCACATGGTCTTATTTTGCTACGGTTGATAATAGGTCACCATCCTCCAAAAAGCCCACTAAGAGCCACGGTGGTGCGGTGGTTAGAATGCAGTACTGCAGGCTAGTTCTGCTGACTGCCAGTTGCCTGCAATTTGGCAGTTCAAATCCCACCAGGCTCAGGGTCGACTCAGCCTTCCATCCTTCCAAGTTGGGTAAAATGAGGACCCAGATTGTTGGGGGCAATAGGCTGACTCTGTAAACTGCTTAGAAGGGGCTGTAAAAGCACTATGAAGCAGTATATAAGTCGAAGTGCTATTGCTACTGCACATCTGAATTTGAAGTTGAAAGACCTTAACCACTGATACTTTTCCAAGAATGGAGAAATGCTCTATCCAACCAAATAATGCCTAGCCAGCAGACATCACAAAGCATTTAATTCCAGTTCATCTGGAAAAGCTGTTCTGTCCCCACCCCTACTCCACATCGTCTCAAATTGTACCAGAGAAATTATGCTACAAAATAAATAGATTATTGACTACCATTCCCAGCCTACCTTTTATTGAAATAGACCTTGATGAATAAATGGAATATTTTATAGTTTGGTTTATTTGTTTATAATGTTGGTTAGAGTAATTTGATTTACAGATGTTTTTTGTTCTACCAGTATAATGGCTACTCAGAAAGAAATGAATGGAGTTTTTAGTAGCTTATTCAGTAATAAGTTGCTATTAATTTCTAACAAATTGTTGTTTCACTTTAATTATTGTATGGATCCTAGATGAACCTAGATCAACTTGTATTTTAGTCATATCTCCTTGGAATGAGAATGAATGTATGGATGAGATAAGATGTGCCCTCTGGCACTAACATCAGGAAACTTGATCTGTCTTTAGGGGCCCTCTTGCATGTGTGTTCATACACAAAGATTTGTTGTACTCATATAAACACAAATTTGTTGCAATGCAAACCCAGTAAGCAGAGATCTTTTTGCTAGAAATAAATAAACACACAAGAGGATTGAGCTATGTGAAAGCAAATCTCAGATTGTCAGTACGGTTGAGTAAGCACTGTTATTAAAAAATAATACAAGTTATCTTGCCTGTGTTCCAAGAATTGAGTTGAGACCACTT